CGACCCAACTACACCACCACGCGCATGCCTCGCGGCGGATATGCGCAGCAGCAAGAAGGTTTCGGTCATCCCTTGAGGGTGAGTCTAGCCCTGCTCGCCAGAAAGACCCCCCCCTTCGCTACAACCCATGTCTAAGCAAAAGCTTGTCGAGGAGCGAGGGGAAGAAGGGAGAGACATGTGGTACGTGTTGAATCCACCTGACCTCGCGACTACGAGACACACGGCCCACGCATTTGAAGTCTAGGCAGATGCGTGTGCGGAGGATGGTCGCGACGCGCAAGCATATATGAATGAGAGGAAGTTGGGTCTGACTCACGCAGCGCAAGTACCGGGGACACACCGAGGAGCGAAGAAGAATACGCTCAGATAACACTGCCCGTCATATCCAGCACCAGCTCAACACGATACCACCATCACCAACCATGTATGTGCATGAACTAACTCCAATTGATGCTACGTCCTGTAGAACAACACGCACGCTGCCCTAGGAGCGTGGCCCCGCCTGTTTTTCGTCGCCTGGAGTACCGGGTATCGTCTTCACAAGAACATGTTTTCGCACACGCTCCAGGCTAATCCGAGTGTCGACCGTGTAATGGTGACTCTCCCCCAGCGTCTTTCTACAGATAGACACTGCCCTCTCCAGAAGTGGAATTGCCTCGTTGTGCTTGCCCTGCGAATTTGAGATGCGGGGATACGAAATTAATCCAATGCACAAAAAATATGTCAACGAGACAGACAGGCAAACAACGATTCGTTCGTCAGGGAAAAAAAAGGGATGCGGTGCAACCAAGGAATGGTCAAAGGAGACTGCACAACATAGATAGCTCATTCGAAACGCACGAACCAACTTGTTCAGGAATTCACCACGAACACAGTACAGTAGTGGGCCCTATATGGTGCAGGGGTCTGTCGTGAGAATGTACCTGCACTATAATAGCAGGCACCTGCACTACTGAAAAGGGTGCCCTCGATAGTGCAGGTTCTGCACTATTGGGGCTTTGAATATTCCTCAATAGTACAGGTTCTGCACTATTGAGGCACTCTTCGACTTCACGTTGTGAGTGTGGCGTCAGCGCTTTGCGGGGCCAACAGAGTACGAAATGGATCGAGATTGTGGATCAATAGTGGACGAAGCTAACTCTCAGTCCTCGTTTCCTGCCTTCCCTCGATGTTGGTGATGAAAAAAGACTTGCTGCGTGTATAAAAAAAACACGACAGAAAGCCCACTGCAAAAACACGAGCAACCATGTACTGCTGGCCCCTGCCATCATTACGTGATGATCAAACTCTCATGTCTCCATGGCGCACCTGCCTTCGATTTAGCAAGAACCAACACACACACAACCAGCCAGGCGCAACCTCACTCCGTCGTGCCGATTTATCTGACCCCTGCCGCACCGGCTGCTATGTTGCAAGAAAAAAAAACACAAGTAAAAAAGAGAGAAAAACATGCAGGAAGGTCACTGCAAAGAAAAATCAAGCAAGCATGCACCCCGCACCCTTGCTAACGTCGTGACAAACTCCCTTATGACTGCCCGGCGCACCCGCTGCGATGTTGCGGGAAAAAAAACAAAAAGAAACGAGAAAGGCGCATAGGAAGCTGACTGCAAGGAAAAAAAAACAACCACGTACACCCGCCGCCTTCACTACGTCTTGATAAACTCTCTCATGTCTGCTTGGCGCACCCGCTTAGCGGCATGCGCTGCGATCAACGCCATTTTTGCTTTCTGCAGATGGAACGCCGCGTCTCCATTGCCACTCTCATCTGCTGCCGATTCCAGGACGCCGAAGTGAGGTGACAGCTCACTATAAGCCGGTGGAGCACGGCGCTCGCGCCCCGTGTTCTCACCGCCACCGCCATCTTCCGTTTCATCTTCCTCATCGCAGCCGGAAGAAATTTCTTCTTCGTCGGGCGTTGAGATGGTCCCGCCCCAGCACCCTCAGCACCCTCAGCTGGTATCTCTTTGCGCTTGCCAGCTCTTGCGACGCACGAGCAGTAGATTCGCCTTGTTTCGATGTCGCCAACCATGCTGCCGCAGTTGCCGTGGAGCCGCCCGCCACATCCTCCATGACAGACGTGGCCATGAGGGGCTTGCGGCGTCTTGTCTGGTTGGTGGCACAGCTCACCGTCCGCACAAGGCATGGTGCGCCTCTGCGCTGCGTACAGCTCTTCGGGTCTGCAGCAGCACGCGCGCCGCGTTTGTGTTGCGTCTATCCGCTGTTCGTGAGTGAGTGTGTGTCTTGTTTTTCTCTTGATCGCGTGTGTGTGAGTGTGTGAATGTTTCTCCACCTGCACTATTGCGGGGCACCGCGGTGCCCAACCTGCACTATATCGGGTATCTGCCTCAATAGTGCAGATCCTGCACTATTGAGGGCGCCGTCTGTGCGCAGAGATTTTACCTGCACTATATCGGGCGGTTGCACTATTCAAAGTGCACTATAGGGGGCCCACTACTGTACCACAAATGTGTTGACATCCATATGGAATCATAAGAGTGTTGACTGGAATATTCTCAGGGCTCGTACCTGACTCTCCAACAACCACGCCCGGTTGTTGAGCGCTGTTGCCACTGTCGGGTGCTCAGGACCGAAGGCTTTCATCCAAATCTCCGTGGCCCGTTCATTGAGGGGCACAGCTCCGGCATATTTGCCCTGTGGAGAAGTTTTGGGTCCACGATATTAGCTGGAGTCTTTACAACCCTGTTGTTGAAATATGAGCAGACAACCACAAGAAACATCCTGGAAAAATCCTTCAACTCTCACCTGTGCTCTCAACAACTCGCCCAGTTGTTGAGGTCTGTAGCGACCTCCGGGTGATCAGGACCGTACACTTTCTCATCGATAGCCAGCGAGCGCTTGTACAGAGGCTCGGCCTCCTCATACTTCCCCTGGAATGCAGTCGGCAGCGTGACAGGGTCGTGTTTTGATACAGGTCGCGTCTAGAAGTGCGGAAGAACATTTCCTTCTAGAATGCTTCTAGAAGGTCGACTGGTTCTCACCTGACTCCTGAACAACCCCGCCCGGTTGTTGAGCCAAACGGCAAGATCTGGATGCTCGGGACCAAGGTCTTTCTCTCCGATGGCGATGGCCCTAACATACAACGGTTCCGCCTCGCTGTACTTTCCCTACAACGCGAGGGGACAGCAAGATGGGGCGTGCTCAAGGTTTGGAAAGTACAATGCAGAAAAACATTTTGCTCAACACCCACGCCCGTTGTTGAGCACTCCAAAACTCTGTTGGGTACCACAAGAATTTTTCCTAGAAACCTCTTCACGGCTCTCACCTGACTCTGCAACAACCCCGCCCTGTTGTTGAGCGACTGGGCCACATCCGGGTGCTCCGGACCCAGCACCTTCTCTCGTATGGCTGGCGACCGCTCACACAGTGGCTCCGCGTCAGCATACTTTCCCCGCACAGCAAGCAGCGGGGTTTGTGAGGGAACGGCCCGGGAGGAACTGACACTACTCACCAGCAAGAAATTTCTAGTGGCTCTCACCTGCGCTCTCAACAACCCCGTTTGTTGAGCCATGTGACCACAGAATGGTGATAGGGAAGGGTTGTTGTGAGGGAGTGGCCCACCAACATTTACAACGGTAGACCAAAGAGAACAATTGAGGGAATTATCGCTGACTACTGAGCAATAGTGTTCCTCCCACAGCCATCGTGAAGGAACGCTTGATAGGGAGGGCTTCTCAAAACAAACGTTGACATGAGTGCCCCAAGGTCGTGGGTCAAGAACATCCCCCGGTCTTTACAATAAAGTCCATCATTCACGTCGAACACGTAAACGCCTTAATCGCGGAGGACGAAAACACCAAGGTAACACGACCGACTAAAACAAGAAAACAAGCCCACCTGGAGGAAGAACAAATTTCCGACAGCTCCGTAGGAAATCGCCGTGTCTGCAGTCGCCTCGCATGCCTCCAGCTCACTCAGAATTTTGCCGTACATGGTGGTCTGCAGCGTATTATCCCGCGAGAGCTCCTCCACTGATCCCCACAGACCCATAAGGGCAAATAGGCCACCCTGCATTTCATCGGCCTCGGCGTATTCCTGGAGTACTGACAGCCTGCTCAGGTACTGGGCCAGGCGGGATGTAACCAACACAACGCGTTCCATCTTCAGACAGCAGAGCTTGCTCTTGACGAAGGCTAGGACCAAGTCGTGCAGGCGGTACTTGTGCTCCACCGCCTGGACGAGTGACTTGTCCACTAGTTGGCCCACGAACAGCAAGCTGTTGCCTGGTCCCTGTAGGTCCAGGGCGTTACGGTGCGATTTGTGAGTGGTATTTCGACAGATGTTTAACTCCAGGTGGTCGGTGAGGAGAAAGTTTTGCAACGCGGGCAATGTAAGAAGGGTCTTTTGGGGGGGGGGCGGGGGGGGGCATGTCCGCGTAATAACAATGCCGGCATACGTCGGAGCATGTCTTTCCGGACCCACGGATGCCTCCTCTCATTTTTGGCTTGTAGCAGGGTCGACCATCGTGACGTGGTGACCGCGGAACGGTAATGATGGAAACACAAGCGCGACCCAGGCAATTTAACTTTGTCGTGCCACGTCGCACCTGGTCCCACAGGTAGGACAGCATCTCCATGGGGGCCAGCGCCCCGCCGGCCAATACTCCCAGCCTGCGGAATCTCTCCTTCGCGTCTGCGTCAAGAGCGCTGAAGCTCAACTCGAGCACGTTGCCAAGGCCGTTGTCGAGGCCCTCCTCGTACACAAACTCTGGCTTTGCGCTGAGCTTCTCATGAAGCTTTGTCCAGGTGTCAGGACGGTGAGGGGATTCCCTCGACTCGTCCATGGCACCGATGACGGCCATAGCGAGAGGTAAATCCGCAATCCTTGACGACCTACCCAAGCAGTGGAGACGGGCAAGGTAAACAGAGCAGCCTGAGCACACACTCTTGGCGGAGGGCGAATTTTGCGTCAAAGTATTGAGTTGTTCGAAACACAATGTGGTAAATCTGCAAGGTGTCTGATCACGCCATGATCCCTAACAAGCGCTGAGAAAACAGCAGACCGTACAAGCCAAGACGCACCCGTAACGCCTCTTGCTTTGGGAGAGGCTACACCGCCCCGCTCGCCAACATCAGCAGCTCCAGCGCCTCTTCCTCCGTCATGTCTCCTACCTCCAAGCAACCCCCTGGAACGCCGACAACCGAACGATCACGCGTGGTCACCACCAACTTCAATCCCAGAGGCAGAAGGGCTTCCACGACCTCGCGCTCCAATACGTCATCCAGCACTACCAGGCGCGGGGAGGTGCCCGTGGATACCACTGTAGTCAGGTGCTGCATAACGTGCTCTAGGCTGTCGAGGTCGCCAGGGTTCCCGTGCGGAGCATGCGCGGGCGCTGCGCCCATCTCCCGGGCCAGGCCCTGCAAGAGGGGCAGGAGCCTATTCTTCGCACCCCTCCCAACGCTCATCAAGAAAATCCCCCCACGAAAATACTCCAGGACACTTAATTCGCGCACGACCGCGGAGACCAGCACCGTTTCCCCCCCTCCACCCATCCCGAAACCTCCCGGTGTTTGCCATCGGGGTTGGGTTTTCGTCGCTTGGCAACGACGTTGTAAAACAAGCCAATTCACTTCGTGAACTCGGCAACCAGGTTACCGTTTTTTTTTTTTACCTCCGTTTTTTTTTTTGGCGGTAACCATAATGGTGGTCGAGTAGATCATGTTGTGCGGGGTGGAGAACCCTCACTCCGCGCAAGGGGGATGATCGCACCACGTTGTGTTAAAATGGTCAAGCACCCTCGAGGCAGTTACACAGTGCTTACAACTGTCTCTGGAAGTGAAAGCACCAGAAAATAAATTAAGTCATACGCAGCTGTCATCCGTACGCAAGGAAGTAAGCACAAGATGCCGAAAACCCTTAGCAGGATGCAGCGCACCCTTCATGCGACTCGCCGAATTTCTCACGGCCCTTCGCGCTTGGTGATGTGAGAGCCTGGTCCGGTGAGAACCCGGCGTGCTCCGTCCCGGCTTTGTAGGGATGCGAGGTCAATGGTCTAACGACTACGGCATGCACGACTATGAGTACACCCCCCCCACCCATCCCGAAAACAGTATAGGGGGCGAGAGCCTTTGCCGGGCTGGTGATTTTATCAACAGCTCCCGGTGAGTCAGAGAGCGCGTGCGGGTCGCCGACGTCGTCAGTCGCCGTGAGTTCTTTAAGCATTTCGGACAGCAACGACTTGCGCTGGACATAGCTTGTTGACAACGGCAACGCCGACGCAGGGACTTTGGCCGCATTGGGAATGGGCATAGTTGTGGGCGCCTTTTCCTCGGCCTTCTTGCGCGCCCTGTTGGCTTCGGACAAAGCCTCCTTCGATCTGTTCGGCAGATGCGAGAGACCAACAGCGACGCAACGCACAACGGAAACCGTAGGATACACATGAGACCGTGCGCGAATAGTTTTTCGAAAACAGGCTGGCCGGCTCGCCACACCAACCGGCGTGATGCCTGAGCTCAGCGAGCGCTACACGTATGATTGCCGAAACAGCATCAAGGTATAGAGCGGGTTTCGGTTGCAAGACATGGATTAAGATCGCTGCCTGTGTCGTCGTTACATTGTTGACGATTGCAACTCCGTCCCTACGCATTATTCGAAGCCGTGGCAAACCGATCCTGTTCATTGTTTTTGGCGGCGACTGTGTTGGGGTCACAACTGTAACCAACAAGATCTCGCTCACCGCTCCAGCTCCATTAGGAGCTCCAGCGTAATCAGCACCCGGGCATCGGCAATGGCATCGTTCTGAGAGGAAGCAGTGGACGACATGGCGCGGTGTGTCGGGTCGTCATACATCGCCTTCCATTGGAATGACACTTTTCCCATTGCCGAAAAAGCAACAACAACGCCAGACATCGTTCTGAGAGGAAGCAGTGGACGACATGGCGCGGTGTGTCGGGTCGTCATACATCGCCTTCCATTGGAATGACACTTTTCCCATTGCCGAAAAAGCAACAACAACGCCAGACATCGTTCTGAGAGGAAGCAGTGGACGACATGGCGCGGTGTGTCGGGTCGTCATACATCGCCTTCCATTGGAATGACACTTTTCCCATTGCCGAAAAAGCAACAACAACGCCAGACACAGAATACCAATTTGCGTAATTCGTGCCACTACGACACGCAATTCTTCGACACAGTAGGACGTGGACTTCCCAAACGAGTAGACTAGAATCCGGGGAAGGCGTTGTGCGATAAGGTGTCCAAAGCTTTTGTAGGCTTTCCCTCGCACCTGCGCGGTAGTTGTCATCCCGTCACAGCTCTCTGCCTCCCCTTCTGTGCGACGTCCGAACGGTTCCGCCGCAGATTCTGGCTTGGACTCCGTCTGTGTAACATCAGTGAGGATCAAAATATGACACGCGTCAACGATTCGCTTGAAAACCTGGCGATATCCGCGCCTGCAGTATCACTCGTCAGCGTTCTCATCCAATGGGCGCTACGGCCGCGTAAGTAGTAGGGGCACCAATACGAGCTGGTCGTCCACGGGCATCTTGTGCGATATCACGTCGTTCAACACAATACCGCTGGGGATACCGTAGGGTAGAGAGCCTGCTGCGACCTCACCTTCCAGGACGTCAAATAGCTCCACAGTCCGCTTCGTTGCGTCCCACGTTCGCGTGTCGTAGACAACCCGTGGTTCTTTGCGTTTACCTCACGGATACAAACAAAAGTCCGGAGATGATGGAACAAGGATGGGGGTAAATATCTTGCCAAAATATTTCATTGATTGAATTTCACCCCTGTACATCTGAGCCCCGACCGAGTTCACGGCTTGTTAAGAGCGTTGTCATACTCCACCTGTACATAATTGATTCGTCCGCGCAGCCTCGGGTGACTTGTGCCAAGGCTGGGTCCAGGTGGAGTACGTTGCGCGTCGAAGGTCTATCGAACGAAGCCTCTACACACGTGTTTATACAATTGGATGCCTACTGCAACAGTCCCCCCCCAATACACATACATTCCGCCGTTCATCCACCTATCACCTTCCAATCAGCGAGGATGCCCAAGAACACAGGTCGATCTTCCGGGGCGTGCTTCCAGCAAAGCTCCATTATTCTGCGTTCGCCATCGTCCACTCGTTTTGGGATTGGTGGGCGGCGTCCGAGTGATTTAACCTCGTTTGAAAAAAACTCGAGGTGGTCGCGACAAACCCACTCCTCCGACCCCAGTTCGTCCTTCCACGCCACCCGTAGCGTCGCCATTTCCCACAGGAGTATCCCATACCTGCGACATGCGTGAGCACGTAGACCAATGAGGGAACAATGCCACCCTACCTCAATCAAGGCTCCCGTGAAACGATGCCATCAAGTGTAAGACGAACTCGCCGCAAAACAGCGATACATTCCGCGGTTAACCGCACAAGAGTAGATTTACAGACAGCAATGCTATTGTATGTGATGCCACAAGGGAAAACAAGGGGGAAAAATACAAACTCTTGGCTTCTGAGATACTGGATTGCCGGTATAAACGGGGGTGTCTGGACTAAAAATACGGGAATGAACAGGCACTAAGCTGTGCTGTGCAGACGGTGCGCTCAGGCATTGTTCCTCGCGACATGAGCAAGGTGTGAATGGATGCGATCGTGTTGGCAGTCACTACGGATCCATGCCTCGTTCCTTCGAAAGCCTCTCTACGACTTACGCACTACGAACTCCCAACATACACACAACACACTCACGCGTACAAATCGGCGGGTTGGCCCCTCTCCAAAACCCTCCTGCCTCCTGGGATCGCCTCCGGAGCCAACGCGCGCAAAGTGCCTTTGTTTTGGTTCAACAACGCCGTGGAATCGGCATTGAGTGGCCTCGAGAGTCCAAAATCGGACACCTGCAGTTTCGAGACGAAACGGCACACGGTACGCCGAGAGCAATACGGAAGCACTCTTGTCAGCACGCACCAGCACTTTGTGTAAACTTTTTTTTAATATTCAATAAAAATTTAAAAGCACGCAACACCGCTGTGGGACATGGGGTGGGCCAGCATTTTCTAGGATCCCGACCGTTCCGTGCGTTCAGCATGCTTGGTCAAACAACGCCATCATGTACTACATGCCAACAGGACGTCGCGTCATACCTTAGCCCGGAGCCTCCCATCCAGGAGAACGTTGTCCGCCTTGAGGTCCTTGTGTACGATGTTGTTATCGTGCAGCGCCAACATACCCTGCGCAACCTCCCGCGCCAGCTTATGCCTAGTTTTTGGCTCCAGCTCTTCCTTCCCCTCCGCCCGGCACCGTTCCAGCAACGAGGATAAACTTACGTTTACCACGAGCTCCGTCACGAGAATATTCTGTTTCATGCCGGCCTTCACGGACTAGACGGCGCCATAAAGTTGAAAGGGAGACAGAGACCAGAGAGCAAGCATGATGTAGGTTGGCTGACTTTCCAGATCTAGACGCCTGGTGTTCTTGATGCTTGTTGCCGGCGTGATCCAAGATGTCCCAAATTTGTATTGGTACTCCGCGGCACCATGACGCTATCGCAAGGCCTCGACTTGACCTTGAGCGGGCCAAACCGGGTCAACGCGGCCTGGCTCCATACAACGCACACTTCTACAAACGTCTCACCTTTGTTGAGCAGTACCCGTGCAGCTGGACGATGTGACTGGCGTCCCGCATGGTCTTCAGGAGATCGAGTTCTTGGACGAATTTTCTGTGCGTGATCTTGTCATCTATGTTCGCGACGGAACCACCACCGCTCCCCGCTTTCAGTACCTTTGCTGCCGCGTGTTTGCTGCCCCAGCCGACCAGGAACACCTAGGGCGAATCAACACACACAACGGGAAATAGCGATCGCTGTTGCTCAACGACTACATTGTTGTGGTACCGTACGCAAGATATGATGGTCCAACGACCAATCCGAACGTATCCGGCGATTTGACATGGCGTCAAGAGGCGGGCTTGAGGTTCTCGGGAATACCGGTGAGGTCAGTTATTGCGTGCGCGCAAATATCTCCGATGACTATACATAATACAAGAGTTCGTGTTGCCAAGCTGTGCTGAAGACAGAAAAAAGCACACACCGTTTTTCTTGTAGCGTGCCAAGTCCTACACTAAAATCAACCAACAGACACAACTATGGATCGAGGGCTACGTCCGGAGGCGGTGCGAGTAAAGCATTGAACCGCGAGAACGGATTTTGAACGCGGACCGCTGGGTGATCCTCCCGACGGAAACCAAGACCGGCACAGACACTACCGCTTCTCCTCCTGGGCTCAAGTACCCCATCAAGGTCTGTTGAGTTAATACCTCTGCGGAACCGCCCGAACCGATAGCAAGATTGTCGCGCAGATCCACGATGCACTTGTCTTGGGGGGTGCACATGCACTCCTGAATATGCTGCCCACGTTCATCATCGCCGCTCTCCTCCGACAGGAGTGCTTTATCCGTTTCACCAATGTCACCACTCTAGGTGGGCAGACATGCGACCGACGAAAGGGTGGCGTCCTTTTGGCAAACAGTAAGGCTTGCGCCGCACGCTTTCCACGAACAGTGGTTGCAGTATAGTTCCGCAGGTGCAACGACCGCCATTTCTATTTGTTCCCTTCGCTATCATGCGCACTTCGTTGAGCCGACAATCTTCGGTATTGGCCGATTCTAGTCCAGTTCCCCGCAGGCGAACAACAATCTTCCTCTTCGTCATTTCGGGGGCATGCCGACTTACGATGAGAATACAAACTTGCCACAGCGTTGTTCAGAGGGTCGTTTCCATTTGAACTCATACTGGCACGAAAAGCGATATTTTCTGAACACCTCACGTATGCGAAATGATTGCGAAGGGGTTTGTTAGAAGCTAAAAATGGGGAAGAACGTTCAATTCCGAAGGACCACAATTTTTGGTTGTGGAATTACTTTCTGTCTGTCGCAAGAGCTTGGAAAGGTCTAGTTTCGGGTGAGCAATGCCTAAGCTCCTTTTCTTTTCGTGTACAACGTGGAAAGAGACATTGTCAGTCTCAAGAGCGTGGAAGGGCTGGTTTCGAGTGAGGCCCCATCTCTTTTGACAGGAACGACGCTCAGCCCCACGATTGCGACGCGACTTTCCTTTACCCACTCACATCCAGAACCATCCCCCGCGAGATCTTCTCCAGTCGCAGCACATCCTGTTCACGACTCTTCAGCAAGTTTTCCCCAACTGCGGCGTGTCTCTCCTTGTTCGTGTAGTAGATGTCAACGACCTGCACGCATGCATCAGAAGCAACGCCGATGTGGTGCTAGCTTACTCCTAAACCTCAGACGCATACGTTGTCCCAATACGGCAATCAGATCAGTGAAGGAGCGAAATGCGGTCACCACATGGCACGGCGCTCGGCTTCACTCTCTACTGTAGTTGCTCGGGCACTTACGCGTTGTAAAATATACCCTTCTTGGAACCCGCCGGGTTTCTCTCCGAAGCATATAATAGTTATTTAGCGCGCGCGGCGAATCATGAGCCGACGCGGGCGTACGACCCACGCGGGTGTCGACCGACGCCGAGAGCCTTGACCCAAATATAGGGCGCCTCACCTCGCGGTAGAGCCTCAGTTTCGCGAGAAGAATCCATAGACTCCTCGTCAGTAAAGCAGTCCGGTCCTGTTCTTGCGAATTCGCAGTCGAGTTTTGGTGGTCTTGAGACTCGTCCTGGATCAGCACAGCATCATCGCGGTTGTGTCATGGTGTATTTGCAGCTGGATTATGGCCCCATTTGCTGGGTGTGAGCGACAGCGAGCGACTTAGAATAGTAGAAAGGACAAGGCGAAGCTTTGGACTGAGATGGGCGGCTAAACTGCCCCACAGTGGTTGGACTTGCTCCACACTGCCTACAATCGGTCACGGTTTCTAACGGCTGGGTGGTCGTCGCAAGTCAAATTGATTGAGCTCACAAGGAGGTACCAAACATACCAAACACTGACGCAACAAAGAAATATGTGTGCCGGAGATCGTTCAAGAGCGACCTCTCGCTAGACAATACAACTCGGCTGGGCCCCTCCGCGGTGTGTGTACCCACCTCACGCAATTCCTCATCGACCCGGCCAATCTCGTGAATGAGGTCCGCCAGACATTGCAAAAAATCGACACCCTCTGCCTTTCCGGCGATGAGAAGAGAGTCCCTCTTGGCGATGAGATAAGACGCGATGTCCAGCAGGCGCTCGAGAGTCCGCATTGTTACTTTTCCAGCGCCGCGCCTCGGCAGGGCTCGAGCAACCGGCAATGGGTGTTGATAGTTGATAGAGAATCTGGGAGAAAGGTAGTGACCGAAAAGTGCAACTGCCCGGGTCTGTGAGAAACTTTTGCGAACTGGTTCCAGGGTTCCTCACGTACGTTCGGTATTCAGTGTGAGCACAACGAGAGACCTCTTTGACCCTCAAACGGGCAAAGATGAGTGCCCCTGCAGTGCTAATAAACACTAAAACTACTGAGACGATCCCTTGGCACAAGAGACGGCCGTGGGGGACAAAGTACATCAAGGTGGTGAACAAATCCAACGGCCGTCTCGTGCTATCCTTCGTTCACGAGCACCGGCTCCAGCTGAAGAGACAGAAAAAAAGCCATCAAGCGCGGTGCAACCGCAAGTGCGAACGCTGGCGTGGGCCTGGACGGTCTCGTGAAGGGCAAGGTGGGCCTGCGTTTCAGCCACGAAGAGGTGAACAACATGTTTTTCGAGGGCGAAAATTGCATGGTAGACCAAAGGGTGCTCATCGAAGGCGGAGCTTGCAAGGTGCACTTTTTGCCAGGTTGCATGGAAGCTCGCGTGCGCGGGTACTACCTGCTGCCATTCGATGACCCGAAGCCGCTGGTATTTTGGAAGAACAGCACCTACAGCAGGAGCGTGCGTATCACTGCGACGGTGAAGAAGAACCGCTCGATGGAGGTTCCCAAAGAGGTTGAAATTGGACGTTTGGAGCAGCTGCCTATTCCCAGGTATGGATGGGCAGCATCTGTATCTCGTGTGATATTTTGGCTTACACTCCCAGACGGCCCAAAAACTGAAGCTTTTGCTTCTCCTCGTGACTGGTCAGTTATTCTATTGGTAACGGCCTTTATCCCTCTTACGTCTGCCCGCCCGGTCGCTTACAGCCTTCTAGTCGCTGGTGGCGTGGTGTTAAGCGTTGCCGTCTACTTCATTGTACCTGCGGTATGCTGAAAACGGATCGAGTGCTGTGTGCTTCTCGGGAGGAGATGGCGCTCGGAGCGGGGCACAGAAGTCCTCATGATGTATCTGCAAAAAGGAAGGGAACGAGGTTGACTCACGGGGACACAGGGACAAAATTACCCCGGCACGCTTGTGCGTGCCACACCACAGTATAGAGCCATGACCCGTGCGCTGCCACCCTTAGCACCACCCCTCCGTGGGGTGGATGGGTTAAGTTTGTTTTATGGAGAAGCGTTAGTGTCCCCTAGTGTCCATCAGTACTTCGCTTGGTTCATGTGCTAGCCATATGTAGATCAATCGGGGAGGGGTGGGCGTGATCCCTCATTAAAAATTCATATGCTGCGTGCCTTCCCTGTTTTGAGTTTGAAATGTTTTCACGCGTTTCCCGTTTTCCTTATTTGTTTGTCTTTTGTCGGTGTCTGCCTCCACGGTCTCCGGCGTGCGATACTTCCCCCTCCTCTTCGTCCTTGACGGTGTTTTGATCGATTGCTTCCCCATCTGCAGGCCGATCTTGGTTGTCATCGAATGCCTTCGAGTCGCATTACATCATTTAGTTTCGCAGTAGGTATTTTTCTACAGAATTAAGGTATATCGTCTAGTTGGTAACTTCGTAACCTTCTAGCGTCCAGGGCATGGGTTCGGATCCCAGGGCACGTGAATTATTTTCTCGCTCGTGCCCAGCAGTGGAAAACCGGCCAGTTCATGTGTACACACACATTAAGGGAATAGGCAGCTGAACTCTCCTCGCGTTCAAAATGGAACGCTGCACCACAGGAGGGCGGGTTGGGGGCCTCATCCCTTGTGTGACCCCGGATCGGAGCTCTCCGCCAGAAATGATAGAGCGCCGGATAAATAAGAAGGGGGGGGGATGAGGGAGACCTCCTTCGTGCTCGGCGTGATCCTTTCAGCAGGGGGACATCATTTCCGTGAATCTGAAAAGGGCAGATGCCTCGGCGAAGAAACTCTGTTACCTTGCCTTTTTTTAAGTATTGATTTCTCAGGGACAGGCTCAGGAGGAACCACTACCGCCTCCAGGCAGGCGCTTGACCCACTTTAGCCCGAGCAGAATGCTGCGTGGGCTGCCTCTGCACGGCTATGGGTTAGTGCTCTAGCTGGACCTTTGTCAAACACCCAAAAAATAACGGTTCGGACGGGTCATATGAACAACAACGCATTGATGAACGAAAGACACAAAAAAGCGCCAGGAGGAAAAAGTGCATGCGCCCCAACTACCGGATGTGTCGGCTTTAGGTCAAGCAGCTCGCGCAGTCAGCAAAGCTTCGCGTTTGTTTTGTCGCCGTTCGACAAATTGAAAGAGAAATGGTGCATAAATCTCGAACATCGCTAGCCACCTTTCCACAGCCATGCGAACCAATATTTATTCCTTGAAGCAGTTCGAAAAACGTACGACGGATACGTCTTCCGTATACAAACACCCGAGCCAGGCCCTTATCAATATGCCAAGACTCAATGCCATGAATAATGATATAAAATGTATCAAGTCCCATCTAGAAACTAGTCAGCCGCCTCCCGCGAATAAAGTATCCGCCTCTCCGTACGAAGTAACCAACAAGCAAGTGAAGCTGGCGTTCAAGCGCAGTTGCCACCAAGGTCTCGTGCCACTCTCGCCCTTGTTCTCGAGGGGAGCGGGGACGCCGAACACCCCCCTTCCTCCGCACGAACGGGTGACGAAAGCCCGGCCTGGCAATACATCTGCGGCGGGAAATATTGGGGGCGGTGGGGTATGCCGATTGACGTTTGTGGAATGAGATGTCGCAAAACAACAAACCTTCAAAGGTCCGCTTGTAGACTACGTTTCCGACCGCTCATCCGGGAGCGGGGAGCGAGGCCAGCAGCCTGTAGAAGGTACAAAATAAACCTGTACTTATCAAAACAAAAATACACCTTCAAAAGCCCTCCGGTAGACCACGCTTCTGACCGCGGGCCTCCGCGGGAGCCGCTTCTCCACGTCCGCGGGAGCCTCTCCTCCACGCTACCTGCCACCCCCCCCTCCTCGGCCTGGGCTTGACCGACCCCACCCTCGCCCCCTCCGACTTCGGGTGCGGGGCCACCGGTGGCCTTCTCTTCAATTTTCACAGAGCCTCCTCCGGTCCCGGCCCCGCGTGCAATGATATATCGTACAAATAAACACTTTCAAGAGTCCGCTGGTAGACTGCGTTTCCGACCGCTTATCCGGGAGCGGGGAGCGAGGCCAGACTACTTCAGTACACACCAAACACACCTTCAAAAGCCCTCCAGTAGACCACGCGTCTGGCCGCGGGCCTCCGCGAGAGCCTCTCCTCCGTGCAGCCCTCCGCTCTCCCCCTCCTGGTCGGCTGACTCGGCTTGGGCATGACCGGCTCCGCCCTCGTCCTCTCCGGCGGCGGCCTCCTCTGCTTGGGCTTGGACGACCCCACCCTCGCCCTCTCCGGCTGCGCCCGAATCTCCACCGGCGGCGGCCGAGGCTCCACCGGCGGGCTCATCCTCGTTTTCCACAGAACCTCCACCGCCTTCGGTCGCAGCTTGAACAGGGAGGAAGAAAGATTTGGGGAGTGTGTCAACGAGCTGTGGGTATCAAAGGAAGAAACTACATCTCTCTCTCAAATGGTGTTTGCCATTCACGCACGCACCTGTGCCTGCTGCTGCATTTTCTGCAGCGTCGTCTGCAGAAAACGCTCTTGCTCCGNGTTTTCCACAGAACCTCCACCGCCTTCGGTCGCAGCTTGAACAGGGAGGAAGAAAGATTTGGGGAGTGTGTCAACGAGCTGTGGGTATCAAAGGAAGAAACTACATCTCTCTCTCAAATGGTGTTTGCCATTCACGCACGCACCTGTGCCTGCTGCTGCATTTTCTGCAGCGTCGTCTGCAGAAAACGCTCTTGCTCCGCCTGCTGCTCTTGCTGCAGCTGTTTCTCCAGACGACGCTGCTGGTGTTGCTGCTGCAGCTCCTGCTGCAGCTGTTTCTCCAGACGACGCTGCTGGTATTGCTGCTGCACCTCTTTTTTCTGTAGATAGAGCAGCTTCTGGTCCCGTTGCTCTAGACCGGGCTGGTGCTGTAGCTGGTACCGCTCTTCCCTCTGCTGGCACTGCTGCTGGCGCTGCTCTTCCTGTGCAACATCCAGCTGCTGCTGCTGCTGCTGCTGCTGCAGAAAAAGCTGGTGCTGCTCCGCAAAAACCATGTCGGCGGGGGTGGCGGGGGCGGCGGGAGCTGCGGCTGCGTCGGCGGCGGTGTTTTCCTCCTTCTCTTCTTGCTCCACGTGGGATTCATCGCCCGCGTCAACCTAAACAGAAGGGAGGGAGAAGGCATGTGTTACAAGCACTTTCAGAGGGAGAAGCGGCTCTTGCTTTTTCTCTTGAGCCCCGTTGATCGATCAGAGGAGAGACCGTGAGTATGCAAAAAAGAGGCACATCAGCCACACATGTTGTGTCGTGAGGATGCTGGAAGGCGCAATCTTCTATTTTGCTTCCAAGTGTAAAAATGCGTGCTGGGGGGAAATTGCGAAATTCGGTCCCTGGTTGTATCCGTCCCATTTTTATGCTGCTTCTATTGCTGCTGAGGTACTGAGAGGTAACGCGCCTCTCGGTCGCTGTAGCAGAAGTAGTTCTCATCTGGTCCGGCAGCAGCAGCGGCAGCAACAGCGGCAGCAACAGCGGCAGCGGCGGCAGCAACAATGGTCCATGGTCAATAGGGGCATCTCGGGCATCTGGTGGCGCGGAACCTCCACTTTTCTATATTCCGCCGCAAAAGGTCCCGAAGCGGAACATTTTGCCCGAACCTTTTTTCCCCTCTCTCCTGCGTGTAGTACGCAAACACACGCTAATGTAACACCGCGCCCGAAGCATTGAAGCCAATAGCAAACAACAGCAGCACCAGAGAGCTTCCCTTGCAGCCTTCGGGGAGAAGGAAGGTGCGTGCGTGTGTGTTTTTATTATTAGCATCGACCGCGCTAAGCGGCTGACCAATTAAAAGACGTCAGTGCCAGCGGGTAAAAATCAAGGTCCCTGGAAGGGGGCCAAAATTCGAAAAATGCGCAATGCGCTTGATGCGAATGCCAATACGACTCTCTCCACATGTTCTTTCACGTAGACACACATCTCAGCTACACAAATGC